GGGACCTCTTTCGGGGCTCGGGCTGACACCTAGGTCCCATCTGCCGAATCCGTGCAAAATAGGCAATTCACGGAATTTGCAATGTCACTTTCCAATCCATATTTGCAAATCCTGAAAAGGGAATTTCAACTGTCGTCTATACAAATTTCAAACTGATATCTGTCTTTCTTCTCTGTGTGCGAATACAGAGATTTCCAATAGTTGTCGCAGATCACGCTGGTAGAATAACTTCAGGGCGTTCGATATCCGCCTTGAGATAGTTGGTGTGGGACTTTGATCAGCTGACTTCGGCTCGACGATTTCGTTTTATGTATCTGTCATTTATAAATTATGCACCTTGTCGGAAGTTGACCTTGGCTCGATGGATTTCCTGCTAGTCTATATATATACCCTTCAAAAAATATAAAATCCGGATATCTCTTTGACTTCCTGAATCCTCAGCCAGCCTCAGCATTTCTTCAAAAATTAATTCCTCGTCTTTCAAATCCTTCTTACTTTTACAATTACATACAATTGTTTGCGTATACATATCCTAGCCTTTTCCATCATGAGATCTTTTGTTCTTCTTGGATTCCTGTTACAAGTCTTATTTGTATTAAGTTATCCTGAATCTATCAAGACCTTAGAAAGACGTGACTTGAGCGGTCTGCAATCGATCAACCCACAACAACTTTTCAAACGCTCAACCTCGCGGCCCAACCCGGTAGTTTGTCCAAATGGTGACAAATATGATTTGAACGATTACAATAAGTGTGTCATCATTTCTTGTCAACTTTGAAGTCGTTCTCTCTGCTTTACCAATTGAACCGACTAAAACTTTTTACACGTAACTTGATTAGAGCGCTTACCGCTTTAGTCCAACGTAAGGTCAAATGTGTTTACTATTCCAACTTGGCTGTGAGTATGGTTTCCACTCAACCGACTGAGAAGCTAGAAGGTCCCGAGTTGACTGGCTGATCGACTCATTTCAAACAGATGGTGGTGTTCGACCAGGATGGAAATCCGGCCACATTTACGGAGTGAGTGGCCCATTTAATGACTGGAACAATGTGGATATCCCCAAAGATCAATATGAACCCATCCTTCTTCATTCTGTCAGCTCCGAACCCTCAACCATTAGAAATTGGTATGACTCTCAGATCAGTCAGCAATGTGAGACTCAAAGGCCAGTTAGGGTTGTAAGTCTTACTCGTCTAGACTCTCCTACAAGTTAACACTAAGCCAGAAATCTAACTTTCTTCCAAACTGATACCGATTGATACATAGCGAAGCAAGCAACCACCACTTCGCCCGGATGATTCCTTGTCCATCGGAACCGCGTTCTTCAATGACTATGCCGCTGACAAGCAAGTCGTGAACTGTGATGATGAGGATGACGCTTACATACGTAATTACTTGGCTTCCTTCTGAAAGACATACATGATTGTGATCACAATTGCTAGTAGTAAATTCCTTGCCTTACAAATCACAAGCGTGACCCTTACATGTAGTATTTGGATCCATGTTAGGGGCTCATGTTGGAGTGTTTCCAGTTCATGGTATTCTTTATCTCTCTTCTTTATCAGTTGTTATTCTATCTTGGCTTCTTCAATCTGATCATGAGCCTTATGAACTAGGCCTAGTTCTTGTTGAAGTTCATCTTGGTTCCATGTGCAACTGTCTGAGCCCAACCTAGGGAGTCTTGATGTAGTTTCTTACAGAAACTTTCAATATTATCAGTGAATTACATTAAGACTAGCGCTTAGACAGGCTTGCCCGCCTCTAAAGTCAATAAGTAGAGTGTTGATCCTTATGGTTCATATGGCTGGAGTCTTGAGTCAGTCACAAAATTTTTGATGCTTTGGCTCTCTTTGGCTGCCAGTACTGTGGACGAGTACATTGTAGAACTAGAGCAGATGTTGATGGGCCAGCCCACCTTGAGGTCAATACGACTATACCGTACGTCAAATCCAGCTTTATAATTCTTTAACGTAGCGTAGCTGAACTCTTTTCACAATCGTTGAGTTTTGCAACTTAACCTATGAGTAATCTGAATTAAGGGATGTTCAATTCGAAGGGATTGTAAGGAAAGGTTCTTTTGGAAAACTTACGAAATCAAAATCTAAAAGACCATTCATATCTCGTCAGACTCATGATATTGTAACGCAAAATCCACATTTTCTCTTCATCAAGAATAATTTCTTGCAAAATGGATTGTTTCCTTTGTTCTCTTCATTTTTTACTGTGTTTGAGTCAGACATCAAGAAACAAAGGTGCAGTAATTCCCTGCACATTTTTTACTGTGTTTGAGTCAGACATCAAGAAACGAAGGTGCAGTAATTCCCTGCACATTAATTAATCTGTTTGAGTCTTTAACCTCATCCAAGTCCCACATATTATGGCTTAGCCATGTGTAGGTGGCTCGACGATTTTGTTTCATCTTAAACCTAGCAAAGTCTCACGCTGTCGCCTCGCGATCGAGCCCGCTGTTTAGTTTTATCTGTCCTCGAGCCTCTGGCCGTTGGCGAGGGACTTGAGTTAACCTTGGCTCGATGGATTTCGTAAGCATTTCCAGCATTTCCATTTACAACATCAAAAGTACCCTTCAAAAATGAAATCCCGGATATCTCTGAATTCGACTTCCTCAGCCTTTCTTCAAAATTAATTCCTCGTCTTTCAATTGCTTCTTACTTTTCCAATTACAATTGTTTGCGTAAACATAACCCAGCTCTTGTCATCATGAGAGCATTCATTCTTCTTGAATTCCTGTTACAAGTCTTATTTGTATTGGGTTATCCCGAATCCATCGGGAGCTTAGAAGGATGTCATGACTTGACTGGTCCGCAATCGAACAACCCACAACATCTCTACAAGCGCTTAACCTCGCCACCCAACCCGGTAGTTTGTCCAGATGGCCACAAATATGATTTGAACGATTACAATAAGTGCTTCTCCATTTCTTGTCAACTTAGAAGTTGTTCTCTTCGCTTTACCAATTGTATTGAATTGACTAAAACTTATTGCACTTAACTTGATTAGAATGATCACCGCTTTAGTCCAACGTAAAGTCAAATGTGTTTACTACGCAAACATGGGTGTGAGTCTGGTGTCCACTCAGCCGACTGAGAAGCTAGAAGGTACAGAGTTGACTGGCTGATCAACTCATTTCAAACAGATGGCGGTGTTTGACCAGGATGGAAAGCCGGCCACGTTTACGGAGTGAGTGCTTATGTAATGACTGGAACAATGTGGATATCCCTAAAGATCAATATGAACCCATTCTGATTCATTCTCTCAGCTCCGATCCCTCAACCCTTGTAAATTGGTATGACGCTCAGATCAGTAAGCAATGTGAGGTCCAAAGGCCAGTTAAGCTTGTAAGTCTTACTTTTCTCTCCTACAACACATCAAACCCAGAAATCTAACTTTCTTCCCAATTGATATCTACCAATTGATAGCAAAGCAAGCAAGCACCACTTGGCCCGGATGACTTATTGTCCATCGGAACCGCGTTCTACAAAGACTATCTCCCTGACAAGCAAGTCATGACCTGTGATGAAGAGGATGATGCTTACATACGTAATTACTTGGCTTCCTTCTGAAAGACATACATGATTGTGATCACAATTGCTAGTAGGAAAATTCTTTCCTAAACCTGCGAGGTGATATCTTACAAATCACAAGCCTGACTGTAATATTTGGATCTATGTTAGGGGCTCATGTTGGAGTGTTTCTAGTTCATGGTATTCTTTATCTCTCATCTTTAACAGTTTTTATTATATCTTGGCTTCTTCAATCTGATCATGAGCCTTATGAACTTGGCCCAGTTCCTGTTGAAGTTCATCTTGGTTCTATGTACAACTGTCTGAAGCCAACCTATGTAGAGAGTCTTAGTGTAGTTTCTTGCAGATGTAGTTTCTTACAGAAACATTCACTATCATCAGTGATCATCAGTGAATTACAGTAAGACTAGCACTTAGCCAGGCTTGCCCGCCTCCAAAGTCAATAAGTAGAGTGTTGATCCTTATGGTTCAAATGGCTAGAGGCTTGAATCAGGAATAGGTTAAGTAATTGGGATATATGCACCATGCTCAACTAATCACATTATCTTGTGTCAAGCCAAAAACTGCGTAGCAGCTATCAAAGGTTCAATATGATCCATATGAGGTTTGAAGATGATGATAAGTGAACACACAGATATTAGGGTGGTTCAAGTCAAGAAATGCTAGCAACGTGACGCAGAATCAGGTTTTTTAGGGTTGTTTGCTCCTTAAAACTCTTGATTGCCTAGTCACAAACACTCTAAAATACAATTTTAAGGCCTTGTAGATATTTGTGTACCCCTAATGGACATTGACCACAAAAAAATGTTCAGTTGTACAAGTAGGTGTATATGGGTGGTATCTAAAGTGACAAGAGAAAACACCTGCCATATCCTGTCCCAGCCCTGAGGCGGTGAAGGTTTGTGACCTCAAATGATCACTTGTGTCAAAACAGCCAAGATTGTCATAAGAAGCAGCTTGATAACATTAAAGACTTAGTTTGTTAGACTTTCAGGAAGGTGAATATCACACAAGGCAATGAAGACACAAAATTGGTTGTTGATTGTCCTCCAAGACTGTAAGCTGATCATGATATATATACTCTACTATGGAATTGTATCATCAACGTCATCATCATATATTAAAGCACGTAATCAAATTTTCCTCCAAAAATAAATCATCATCATCAAAAGAATAAGAGACCAGAAAAGAGAAAATTCACACATAAAAAAGATGTATCCAAGCTGGTAATTGGGGCAGGAGGATACAAAAAAAAATCCAGAATGCAATCAAAAATAAGATATCGAATCAAATCAAACTAGAATATGCTTGAATTGAACCACTTAAACCTTGGAAGAAACCAAGATCATCTCCTTTGGTTTACTTTCTTCAAGGTCAATTCTTTTTTTTTCATTCTGGATTTTCAGATTCAGCGTCATGGCTATATCCATTTTCTTCTTCCTCATATCCTTCTTCGTATTCGCCATCATCTTGTAATTCGTCATCAATACTTGCCGTTGCGTACCTGGAAAAAACACACATGAGGTTCATCAATATCACGAGGTATGAAGACGGGTCTAGTTCAGAGGTCTGTGCTCACTGTTGATATTCTTCAATCAAGTCAATGAGATTGGATTCAGCCTAGGGGTTCCCAACGCATAATGTGTCAGTTCATGAAAAAAGTGGTGACGTGGCGGGATTTCTCGTGAAGTATCAAGTTACCTCTGTGAATTCCATTTCATCTGTAGGATATGGAAAAAATATCACGTTAGAACCTTTGATTTGCAAAATTTTGGGATGATTAGTGGATTTGCTACTGACCCATTCCTTCGTTTGTGTACCAATGTAAGAATGCACGTCTACGGAACATAGCCTATGACACAATGCAAAACCCAAAAAATCTTTCAACTGGATGTGCAAAGACAAATTGACTTCAGACTGAGGAAGAAGAGGGACGAACTGCATATTGAGCTTGGGTTCTCTTGAACAATTCCTGTTGAGCTGTTGAATTACCAATGAATGTCGCAGCCATTCGAAGACCTAATCAAATTAAAAGAAAAAATCCAAAGCTAGTCAGTCTATGACGAGCAACTTCCAAGCAATAATGTAGTAAGACGAACCAGTAGGTGGTACTTGACATAGTGAAGTCATCACAGAGTTAGGGATCCAATCCACGAAGAAATCCGAGTTTTTCTCTTGCACAGCTGCCATCGATTCCTCGACACTTAGATTGACGAACAGGTTGAAAGGATGTGAGATTTGCGGCAGCTTTGTGTAAATAGTCAATTGAAGAGAAGTAGATTTGATCGCTTACTCTCGAGAAGCAACAGCAGCACCTCGGAAAATAGTGGCTGCAGTAAGGTACCTACCGAGACGCGGATCAGAGGCTGCCATCATTGATTGTGGCGCAAAGACTTGCTGAGTTAGTTCAGGCACCTGGAACGAACTGTGGATTAGTACGAATATTTGTTTTACTGAAGATATGGTATTCGAAAACACACTGACTGTCAGTTTTTGATACTTGGAAGCACCAGGCGCGGTTAATGGTGCAAATCCACACATGAGGAAATGTAATCGAGGGAACGGAACCATATTGACGGCGAGCTTTCGTAAATCGGCATTCAATTGACCTGGGAATCGTAATGTAGTCGAACTACCGGCCATCACATTGGCTACTAGTGCATTCAGATCACTGTAACTCGGATCGTTCTTTTTGAGTGTCCGCTGGCAGACTGGAAGGTAAGAAGATCAGTGAGTGTCTGATCCACATCAGAGAGATGCTTGGAGAGCTTACTATCGAATAATGCTTCGTTATCAATGTTGAAAGTCAGATCGCTCTGCGAGGTAGGTCATGATGAGTGATGCGGACTTTTTAAATGAGATGCACAGTCTAGCTAACGTCAATGTACCATCTCAACCAATTGATGGAAACAAAGCGTCGCATTGTACGGCTCCACGACTGTATCCGACACCTTTGGACTTGGTAAAATAGACCATGTGGTCATCATTCCTGAATGGTTTGGTATCGAGAATCAAATATATGTGACATGTGAGTAGACCCTCATTGACTTGCTAGGTTTATTTGATATACTCACGGTCCGGGTATTCTTCTCTTAGCTTATTCAAGATCAGGGTTCCTAGTCCACTTCCTGTTCCACCTCCTAACGAATGGACCAACTGAAACCCTTGAAGCATCTCACAACGCTCAGTCTCGTGTCGAACGACTTCCATCACAGTTTCGACCAGCTCAGCTCCTTCACTTTTAGAGTGGATAAATGCGATCGAGAAAACAAGATACAATCAAATAGATCATCAGCACAGTGAAGGCGATCCTTATAAGGAGGACGAAGGAGGTTCGGGGGGCTCGTCTTACGTGTAAAATCCCTGGATGAGTTGGATGATGTTTTACTATGATCAGTATGATCCACATTAATGTAGTGGAGACAAATTTGAGATATATTTCTATTCACCTTTGCAAAGTTATTACCTTCAACCCCAGCGTCGTGCCATATCAAAATTGCCTCAGATCGAATGAATAGGCCTTTGAGAATAAGACCAAGATGACATACCGGCTCCTGATTGACCATTGATATAGTTATCAGGTCTGTGTAACTTTCCTAATGGGCCAGACCGAATGGATTCCATAGTGTTAGGCTCAAGATCGATGTTAAGTCCTCGAGGAACCCATTTGTCTTTAGCTGCTTCGCTAAAGAAGACTCCTAACCGAGTGTGTTGCTCCTCCGTTGCTTCAGGCAAGGGTATTCCTTCTCCAGATAACGCATGTTCCTGTAAAATCGATTGCCAGAAAGAGCTGGTCACCTACGTTGCATGATTCGCAATGCAAGAAAATAAGTCAGTCTTCGGGTTTCATTTGAATCGAGGAAAGATTCATGGAGTTGCGTCGAGCAAAAGAAGACCTCACCTGATTTCCTGCTTGTCCGGTCGCGAGGGTAATGATTTCCCTCATACCGCCTGATTAATTGCTTTTCTTGTGCACTAGATAGGAGGATATGTAGTTCTTTGTGTATTGGCCAGTGACGGGTGAGATGGTGCGAGTCAGTGGCAGTGGCTTTGAGCTGTTGCGCACGGCTGCTCAAATAAAGTCCCGCAACACCATTCGGTCATCCGGGCCTTCCATCTCTTCAGGGTGTACCGGCGAAATCCGTCATGTTGGCTTCACTCTTTGTCACTCAACCGATGTCTTTTTTGAAGATTCTGCAACCCCTTTTATCACTTTTATAAGCTGTATAGCCCTCCATTTCCGAAAAGGCTTCTAAGATGAATACACCCGGAAAGATAGGTGAGGTGAACAGCGGAAATGCTTACCAAAGGATTGATGAAGGCCGCAATACCTGCAAATCAAGCTTGAGAGTGAGCTTTGCAAAGACATGGAAGTGATAGCCAGCAATGGAGGCTGGAGCTTTTTCAGAAATCATCTGGAGACATATCTACGTGCCTTTCAAGTCGAAGTGATCCTACAGGCTACATCGACGACCAATATAGTTCCAAACAATCTTCCGTTCCACGATTTGTAATTGGCACTGGCAGCTGTTGGTCACCTTCACGTACTTTTTACTGTTGACATGTTCTTGATTTTGGTTCAGCGAGTAGCCAGGATCATAAACGTACACCGACATTGGCTTGTGGTTGGAGAAGACACCTGGAACTGTTTGTTTTGAAGGAAAAAATGAAGTGAGTTGTAAGACGAGTAGCGAGGCTCATGGTCTGAATGATACCATTCCAGGTTTATGTCTTGAGGTGTTCCAGATTGATTTCGCTCTGTTGACCATCTTCAGAATGGTGAAATTCCTGTAGGTAATCTGGGTAGGATGTATGCTATAGAAATCAGTCGAAGAGATCTCCTTGACCATTGTCCTAGTTATATTCCATCCACTATAATCATTTCTTGAAGTGTCTCTGCATGCCATCAGAATGCTACCTCGTAGACTCACATTACGACCTCAAGAGTTTTCTTTCGAGGGAAGTCAAGATTCCGGCTTACCTCTCAAACTAGTCACCACCCGACATGGTACTAAAATTTCCAATCCATCTCGCCTTGATGAGTCCGGTAAGAATAGTACCCAACATATTGGTAATCAATCATCTTCTCGGCGTGCAAGGGGGAACGGCAAAGGTTCTCCGCCAGCCTGGCTAGAACGAGCTTTGGAGGTTCCAGAACATGGCCAGTCCCGCACTTCTGATACACATCCTTCATCGCGGACTTATCCGAGCTTCCATCGACCGGTTCCTCGTCGTCCTTCGCGTCATCCGCATCACCATCGCTCTCTAGCGACCATTGATTCTAGCGCAAGCCGAAGAATTGAGAGTCGGAACTATGGCTCAGGTCCCACCTCTAGTGATCATCTGGTTAGCTCTCCGAGAATAACGCCCCAGATGCTTCCACCTTTCTTGGCCTATCATCCACACTCTTATCCAACCGAAACCCTGCACGAGCACAATTCTCCTACGCCATTACTCGCTTACGATGGCGTTGATTGGGAAGACGATCAGGCTCCGGACCATTCTCAAAGTAGATTGTCCTTTCAAACGTGGCCAGAGGAGCAATTGAGCCAAAGGCTAGAATATGATTCATTTCCTCCTCATGTAGGCTTTCTTTTCACTTGATCAGACCTTGCGCGGATGAATTCTGCAAAAAAATATGTGTGTATCAAGCACAGGCCTTATATTTTGGCAATATCTGAATTTATGTACTCGATGTGAGCTAAAATAAGACATTTCCCATTCTTTTACCGCAGCTATCACAGCCTTCTCCACTGTTGAGCTTGCAACATCGGAACAGTCAGTTTGCGACTGTCCAAGAGAGGGAATGGCAGCGCAGGTCACCAACTGAACCTACGACTCTTTATAATCACTTACCTGTGGTTCAAACCTCGTACCAACGACCCCAATCTCCCTCTCAAAGCCTTCAAAGTCTCAATGTATATTCAAAGAATCCGGAACCGGATCGTTATCTACTCAAACTTGAATCTGCTGCAAAAGCCTTCGCAAGTTCTGAAGCAGGTTTTTCATCACCACTCGGTTGTACTTTACCAATTGATGGGGCAGACGGTTTCTTTGATTCTAGCACAAGGCCAAAATATGGCGCCTTCAACTTCCCTCCCACGACTCCCCGCGCGAGGAGTCTTACATCCCATCAATCAAATCATTCGATGTATCCTAGGACACCACAGCATTTAAACAACGTGGAAGCATCTCGGCAAGTTTCACAGGAAACCGCTGAGGCTGATTATATGGCTTTTCCGGAACCAGCATCTTCTCATCGACAACAGCCTTTGAAATCTTATGAAACATTGTCTCCTACCCATACCACCTGGTCTGATTACCAAAACTCGACATCTCTCAACGTTTGGCAGAAGCATCCACAACTCCTGGGTGATCCACTCGAGTACGGAATCCAATCGAATGAAAATCTGTATGAAGATGAACTTTCAAATCCTGATATCCTTGCACAAACGCAAACAAATTTAACCACTTTTTCCGAAATACAAGTCAGTAGGAAGCCTTACAATGAACAGAGAAATGAACCTATATCTCCAACATTCTTTGTTGCAGAAGAAGATAAGGCAGTCTTTGCAGAATTAAAAGCTCTCGCAACACTTGGTACAACATCAATTGATCACCACACTACCATCTCTGCGGCACAAGTTAGTTTGTCACCCTCTATTAGTGTTGCGGCAACTGAAGAAATTCAACGAGAAGTGGAAGAACAAGAAGTGGAAGAGCAGGAAGTGGAAGAGCAAGAAGTGGAAGAGCAAGAAGTGGAAGAGCAGGAAGCGGAAGAGCCTGGGGATTGGGCCAGACTTGAGCAATTGCTTGAAGAGTATCCTGAATCAAATGTAGATTTTGACGAGGATGGAAGTGGACCTGGTTTTGTTATTTGGCAAGATCCTGATATACCATAGGCTCTCTTAACTTTTTGGCCATGAAGTATATAAAAGAACACATATGATAAAGAATCGAATCGATGCTATTCTTTTTGAATTATGATATAAATACCTCATGATCAAAGCAATCAGCTAGAGTGTAAAAAATATTGCGGCCACAAAGCTCCATTGAAACGTCACTGTGAAAGCCTACATGTAGTCCGCAAGGTGAAAAGGGGACATCACACAGATGATCTTATCGTAGTATCATTTTGTTAACGATGTAGGCTTACTGAGCGCAACATCGATGACACTACATGCATATAAGCAAACCTCTTCAATGTATGGTGACTGTTTTGTACGCGTGTTTGTAAGTACAAGTTATATTGATGACAATCAGATAAAAGAATGATAATACAACATTTTGAAGTCAAACATAACACACTTCAGAATGTATACGGGGAAGGATGACTTCAGTGTTAGATTGCCACTTAAATTGATAAGAGTGATCTTGAGGTCATGGCATAAACATCAGACAACAAACAAAAAAGAACTGACCAGTCTCAATAACGACCCTTGCGAACCTCACCCTCAACACCATTTAATTCAGGTTGACCAGTTTGAGCGGAGACCGTGAAGTTTCCACCAACTTTACTAAGGAGAAAGTCGCCATATCGGATAGAAGCTCGTTCCTTGACCGGTTTATCGTTTTCTTTCGCTTGACGAATAATAGAAGGTAATGGAGAGATATAGGCGTTGAAAGCTGGTTCGTAAAAGAAAGGTATCCTGTTCCCTCAATTTTGAAAAGACAAAATGGAAAGATTTATATGCTGAGCTTTAATCAAATCCTCCTGAAGAGATTTCCTATATCTGTTTTTTTATTTATTTACAATCTCTTTGGGTCTTGACTGACGAAGGAATCAGACCTGTTAAACAATCAGGTCACTTACGAAACTCGATAGTTTTGTCCTTTATGAATCACTCGATGTAAGGTAGCCTTATAAACCCCATTTGTCCAAATCTCCCACATCTCTCCGATATTGACCACTAAAGAAAAAAAGTGTGGTGATCAGCTGATTTCGCAAATTGACAACAATTCAGTCAAGTTTGGTGATACCGAGTGCTCCTTCGATGGGATCAGCATTGACCCAGACTCCTGCTTCTCCTTCTTCTTCAGTTAGACTTTCTGTTGATCTTGTCTGAGCTCCTCGCCTGAAGACTTGTAAAGCACCACGGGTCGAATCAGCATATAGGAACGTATAACATCCGTAATCTGTCCCAATCCAAAGTTTTGGTCATTATTTGAAGATGAAGAACCGCTCTAGCTTTTGATTACATAGGAAAACTCAGAAGAAGACCTTTGTGAGCTCCACAGGATACTCCGTCGTGAGTGTGGGGTAAAGGTGGATAACCGATACATCGCATGACCCTAATACGAAGCACATCAGAATTTCAGATCGACTCATCTGGATGAAGATCGAAAGAGTCGAAGAAAAGTGACATACCAGAATGAGTCCTTGGCGAGATTAACCAAGTCTTCTACCTCATCTGGTTCCAATCCAAGTCCCATTCCTGTTGCCCTCATCATCACTTCACCCAATCGGATCATGGTGACAATATATTGACTAATAAGTTCTTTAAAGTCCTTTGGTGTTTCTGGCCATCTATTCTCTCCACCTAAAACCTTTCCTTTCCCTTCATTCCCAAATGGAGAGGGAGCATAAAGATCTAGTGCTTCATGCCAGTCTGCTTTTCCTTGTGTGATATTAAGACCTTTTCGTTGGTAACCACGTGCGAAATCGTTAGAAGCGATCGATAGAGATTCTTTCTCTTCTTCAGTTGCATTTAAAAGAAAGCTACGAGTAGCGTTAAGGACATCTGAAAAAAGGTGTGTTGGAATACCGTGTCCTGTGAGATAGAAGAAACCAGTTGAGGTACAGGCTTCATGAATTTCAGCTGCGGTTTTGCTTTGATGATCAGGATTCGAGGGATGCTGAAGAAATGGTGAGATGTCAATGAGAGGTAGTGAGGTGATAAGCTGTTCAGACATAGCAAGGATCAATTGAGATGCGAGTCCCGAGGGCAAGTAGAAACTGAAACTCGACTGGTCTTATCTTGCTTGTCAAGTCGTAAACTCGACCACACCACATCATCGTCATGACCGCAACTGCACCTATCCCAACTCTTGCACTCTCATCCAACAATAAAGCTGAGTTAGCAAAAAACGTTCAAGAAGCCTTCAGAACTCTAGGCTTTCTCTATGTAACTCATCCTAATCTCGATCAAAGCTCTATATCTAAAATATTTGAAATCTCTAAAGCATTTTTCACTCAAAGTTCTGAGTTGGAAAAAACTAATTGTGCTCGAAAGGTTTGCTCGTCAAACGCATTTCTTGATCATCATTTATACATATGCTGATGGGCTCGTATAGTAGGCCGATAACTTGGGCTTCGTGGCTTTCAAAGCCGAACAGTTTGAGTGCTTGTTTCGATCGATCGTTATTTTTCGGAAAAATGATCATGATAATGATATAGAACTACACCACGGGGCAACTTTGAACTGGGACCACGTGAGATTTAAGTTGAGTATGACCACGCCGAGTCGTTGTGTAGAACAGGTGGCAGCAGTGTGACCGCGGCTACGTGGCCCTCACCCAAGCTTGTCACCCGTTCTACACATGAGCTCGCTGTGAGCAGCAAGATCACGTTACGCTAATGTGATGTACCAGCCTATTAGCGGGTGAGCCGATGTGTGTGAGCAGGACCTGTCAGCCAGCTGCTCAGCACCTGAAGCAGCTTGGATGACTCAAATTCTTGAGAACCCAGCAATATTTGTACTTTACAATTTTTTTATTCTTTTTATTCTTTTTATTTTTTTATTTTTTTTATTTTTTTTATTTTTTTTATTTTTTTTATTTCTTTTATTTTTTTTATTTTTTTGAGGGACAGTGACGTCACCGGTTTTTAAGTACTTCTCCAAATTCCATTGACCACCGTTGTCCGTCTAAGTTGTTCCGCACACAACCCCCTCAAACGTCACCACTTCAATCGATCACAAGAAATCTCACTCTCGCATCTTGAATAGCAAGGTTCATTAACTGCATCACATCAATGTAATAGATTGCAAGAACAAACTGGATAACATCATGGTAAGTTTATCTGTCCTTCACATCAATCTTTTCTGTTTGATTTTCTTTTGATGCTATCATATTCATTGATGCCCTTTATTCTCCTTCAACAATATCAATTCACTTATATCATTGTAAGTTTCCCTCTTTTTCTCTTCTCCAAAGACTCATTTTGATTTGATCATGCTCGGTCCTTCCTATTTTGTTCTTTGTGCTCATGACATTGTATTTTGATGATCCACGGATTGACAGCTTTGAAACTATCCTGTGTCCAATTACTCTGTACTCCACCTTTAGAAGAAGATGCAACAGTTCAAAAGTTCTTTTTATCAGGTTTGTTTGTTCTGCTTTATCTCTATCCATTGAATCATCTCTTACAAAATCAAAATGAAAATCATGAAGAATAGATCGAGCAGAATGGAAGTATGAATTTCAAAAGAACTTATAAAACAATCAAACTTCATCATGCTACTTCAAATCCAATTTGTCTGAAGTTCAATAAACAATCACTCAATTCAAAACCAAATGAACTAATCAACCTTGACCAATCTTTTTCATTTCTATCGGATCAGGAGAATCAGTAAGATCAGCTATAGTAAAACAAATAAAATCATTCAACAAAACAGATACACTCGAGACAAGCTCATTTCTTTCAAAGTAACAATCTACAAAAACTTAATAGATCAAGTGAGATGTTCTTTTTCTCAAACATCTTAACTTCATGATTCAAGTTTACTGATTTCTTGTAACTACTTTTTATCTAAATCTTCCTTTTTATCCGACTCTCCCTTGTCCACAGATTGCTCGATCACTGGCTCGATCACCTGTATGTATTAGGTAAGTAATACATACATCTATTTGGCTTCATGCCTCACGTTCAGTCATATCTACATCATCATTTCCTTTGATACGAAGATCTACATCACCTTCAGGTCTATTTTATTTTATTTGAGTCTTTCTGTCTCTATTTTTCGGCTCTACTCTTCCAATCTTATTTTTTGTATTAGCTTGATATATTTATGTAGTATTGAAGAGTATTCGCCAATGCAAATAGTAGATGAATTCTGTTATGCACAATTCTGTCAGCAAAAAAACAGCCCATCCCAATTTAAGTGGGCTGGCTATTAAGAACAAATAAGGTGAATGAGCACTGAGGGCAATCACTCAACCTGTCATTGGTGATCAAGCCTGCACTGTTGTCATTTCAGATAACTCACCTTGTCAATGTGTGAGTTATTCCACCTTGTCATGATGTGAGATGCTCACCTTGTTATGATAAGGGGTTAGATTGGGTGATGCTCACACTGGCTGGCACGTGTAACTCACATTGGGTATGACAATGTAGACAGCATGCAGGGTCAAAATTCACGTGAGCGTCACATGCCACCCGCCCCGTGGTGTATGTTTACGTGTTATTCGTCAGCTTGGATCCACTATCAAGCTCTCAAGGTGACACCAAAGAGTAAAGCAACATTTTTCAAGCTTATGGTATTTATCATGTTGGGTTGAATCGATTGAGCTTACTCATAATTTCTATGATCTTGTACTCTTGGATTGGGAACATGAAGAGCTTTCAACCTCGGAAGATTGATCCTTCAAGATGGATTTCCTGTCGCACAAAAGACACAACTGGTCCCTTCATTGTTGAAAAATCATTTACCAGTTATTTACGAGTTTCAAGAGGTAAGCATTGATGGTTTTGATCTCCAGCACTCAAAGGTTAAGTCTGACATTTTTTTTCGTAGACTTGTCGAGCCATATGCCTTGAGATCCTCGACTTACTGGCCATCAGTTTAGGAGTGCGTGGTCTTTGATCATGTCTCACTGAATGCAAAAACCTCAATCGATGGATAGGTAATGTTATTGAGATACGTCATATTTTTGTAGCTTTCGAAAGACACCTTTACTTCGCAACATGTGGCAAAAGAAGAAGACCTTTCAATTCTTCGTATGCTATATTACGCCTCTCAACCTTCACAGTCTGGAAAGCAGTCTGAATCACCTTCTATCCGAGCTGGAGCTCATTCTGACGTGAGTTTGATTTTGCCAGCAACTTCCTTAGGTTGGTGTTGATCCTAGTGAACCTTATCTTTTGAGACTAATTTAGTACGGATCATTGACTTTGCTATTTCAAGAGTCTGATGGTCCAACTGGACTTCAAGTACTTACTTCTTCTGAAATTGGTCAACCTTCAAATTGGAAAGATGTGGTTGTTCAACCCGGTGCAATCCTTGTCAATATCGGTGATGCTCTTGAGTTGAGTCTTTCACTTCCAAGCTATCGGAATAGTCAAATCAAAATATTTACCGATATCTTATCATGGATATGTCTTTGATGTTTTGATATTTGATACTTCTATAGATTTTGGACCGGCGGTAAATTGAAATCAACAGTTCATCGAGTCATTCAACCTACTCACCCTTCTCATCATCACCCCACCCGGTTCTCAATTGCTTACTTTTGTCAACCTGACCCTGATGCAATCCTCAAAGATGTAGTAGGAAATTCACCTGACCCGTGTAAGTTATTTTTCTGTCAATATGCACCTTCCTTAAAGCCCTGACTTCATGGTACATCGTCTTTGCACGCTGCAAAACTTTGATTGGGTTATCATTTCATTCATATATCATATGAACAGTGACTAGCTCTCGATTGGAAAGTAAAGGAATTTGTCTTTCTGAAACAGTAACTGCTCGTGAACATCTAACTCGAAGGTTCAATGCTACTTACCTCTCAGGTTCCACTCTCCCTAAAAGTAGCAGTTAATATTTGATTGATCAGAAGAGTCTGAAGGTTACTTTTGCACAAATTTTGATTTGTATAACATCGTATCATGAGAAATAGAGGAGTTAATTGATCACTTCTTCAAAACAGCTTTCCGTGTACAGTCCCCTCCAAGTGGTTTACGTAATCATTCAAGTTCTGCAGCGGCGGGGCTGGGGCCTGTTGCAAACCCGATGATTACGAATTCTAGGGGTGGGGACGTGTACAACGGTCAGAATGGTGTCAAAGTAGCGTCTCAATCAGTAGCGGGATATGTCCAGAAGAGTTTTGGAAAGACCAGCCCTGCCTGACGCATCTTTAGATATAGATGCTCATTGGAACACTGTAAAAATTGATAAGAAAAAATGCTCCAAGTAGGACACATGAAACAGATGAGGAGACACACAAAGGCAACCTTATTCCATATGCTCAAGTCTCATCTTACTGTCTATAGCAATTGGGTGTTCAGAGTTCAGAGTTGAAGTTTTATTGCACCAAAAAATGTGACCACATTTTAGGATAGGTATTTGTATTGCTTTACGACACAAAGGGCAACAAGGTTTTTCTTGACATTGGTTTTGACACCTATCAATATGTTGCTGAAAGTCCATAAAAAAAGAATCAGTGATGATTTGCACAGAGAAATCTGGTAAACAATTACCTTGATATGATCTTTGCGAGAAAGATGTTTCTCTGAACAGTTTAATCTGTGTTGTCTATTGAGAATATTTCTCCCTCTTATTCACCCTTCTTTGATCTAGTCCTTCCCTCACTTAGTCTAAACTAAGCAAGGGAAGGACATGGAAGAAGTGAGAAATATAAGTGTTACAAATTGAGAATGGATTTAAAAGTGAAAGGAGAGGTTTGTCACACAGCACCCAAAGAGTGCAACAACTGGAGATGGTACAAGAAGGACCTAATGAAGTTTTGTAAAACAAACTTGCAGGTCCCCTGTGGGCATGCCCACCTGTTTTCTAGTGTTATAGAATGGGAAGTCAAGATGGAGAATAATGAGGATAACAAATAAACTGATTACTGGGCCAAGCAAGATGAAAAATTGATTGTAGAATAACATTGCAATGAAACATTATATATAGTAGATCAATGTTCATCAGTAAGAGCAATGAGCTGTTGGGTTTATATTTGTATCTTCTGGTGTGAATTGAGCCCTGCAGCTGAGCTCATGTCAACATTTTACAGAGTGAGGAAACAGGTTCAATAGCACACTTGAGACGGAAAAGTCTTGAATTCAATGGCACACTTGAGAATGAAAAGTCATGGGGAAAGACACATCTCAACATAAGAAAGGGTGCAAGCCCATGAAAGGAAAGACAGTGTGGTAATGTTGGTGATGAAATGAATTGTTGGTACCATTCAAATATGTACCAAAAACCCAATCAAATTTCTAAGACTTTTGGTTTACAAGAAAAGCATCTACAATCATTAGAATAAGATGAGACTTTTGGTTCATAAGAACAATGAGAAGATTATCTGCAATGTAAAAGCTTTTTTATGTTTGAAGGACCAAAGAATTAGTTTAACACAAGATTGAATTAACAAAAGTATGACTTGGAAAGATGAGCAATGGATGCCAAATTTGAAAAGCCAGTAGGGGATATTATCCAGAGGTGGACCTGACTGAAGAACAAGAGGAGGGAACAGAACTCATGCAATTCAGCCACACGTTTTTGTCTTTTAGATGATATTGGAACACTTCAAAATTTTGGTAAGGGAACATAAAAAAGAGAAGAAGAATTAAAAATGAAATTCTAGCTCATATCCTCAAGTTCTCCTAGACCATTGTGTGGAGGTGTTTGGTGTTCAGAGGTCAGATCTGTTTTTTCATTGTACCCAAAAATGTGGCCCCTTCTTGGGATTGGGTTTTGTATCTCTGAACGGCACAAAGGACAAAAAGGTCCGTCTCGATGTTGCCTTTGAACATTTTCAATATGTTTCTGAAAGTTCACAGGTTAAGAATCAATGGTGATGTCCACATATAAAGATGAAAGTATTTGTATAAATGATCAGAATATCTTACCTCGAGGCATTCTCTGTGATAAAGATGTTTTTCAGAACAGTCTAATTTCAGAAGACATTGTCCATCGAGAAAATCTTGTAAGCATATTGAGCATGTTTCTTCCTTGTCTTCTCCTTTGTTTTCAACTTGGGATACATGGTTTGAATCACAGTCCATATGATCATTAGCTGGGATACAAAAGAACCTTCTATCAGATCTACATTGTTTGATTTTTTATTTCAAAAGAAGATCAACTCACCAAGTGTTGGGCTCTCTGGTTTCATCAACTTTCTGGCACCATCTATGTTATCTGAAGCTTTGCGCACGGCGCCAATAGCATCATTGTCATTGCTCGTATATATAGTGGTCTTGTGAAGATATTCGGGATCTGATTTGCTCAAGTTGTCTTCATAAGATCTCAACAAATTCAATCCATGATGCTAGTGTTCAGAAGATTTACTCACCAAGTGCTGGAATATGCTGATTCATGTATTCCTTGGCTCCTTCTATATGATCCGAGGCTTTGCTCAAGATCCTAATAATCTCTTGTTTATCTCCAATATATCTTGTGATCTTGTGGGCATCTTGAGGATTCGATTTTCCCAGTTCATCTTCATAAGCTCTCAAGGAATTCAATACATAATCATAGTGCTTCAAGTCCACTTTTGAACATCCAATGAACGGTGCGACAAGGTTTTCCATGTAAAGATCTCCATTTCCTTTACCAAAAAATGCTTTGACATCCAGTTGAACTTTCTCTTGATACTCAAAGTCTTCTTTTAATGATGCATACATAGACTCAAAGATAGGATCAATGACAATTTCATCTCCCAGATTTTTTATGACTTCTTTATAGTGTTTTTGGAGATGTTTCATGATATGGTATATAGGTATTATTTCAACCTCTGTAATATCTTCATGTACCATTTGAAGCTGACATTTTTTAACCAAAACCAAGAGGTTCTCTTTTGGAATTGGGCCACTTGCCTGACACAAAGTGTTATAAATTGTGATGAATTCAGGACTGTTTTTTTGGGATTTGGTTGCTTTGAGATATTCATAAAGTTTTAGATATAATTCCACTCTTTCAAATGATTCCAATATCACTATGATGATGAATAGAGAGTGGTTCAAGTTCAACACTTAATTCTCTGATTTTCTCTTCACTTGTTCACAGAATGGAAACTCACTCGGATCTTCTTCAATTTGATTTCCATCCTCCTTCCAAAGTTGTATTGCACTAGCCGCCAAATTCGCACCTATAAATCGGAATAATTAGATGGGTTGATTATTATACTTGGAGTGTGAAATCTACATACTTTGGTTCAGCAAGAGCTCAAACTCTCCCCGAGAAAGAGAACCGTCTTGGAAACTTGAATGTATAAGCGTGCCATCTTGTATTGAGAGTTTGGGCTGAATACCCTTCAAGAGTCCTAAAATCCAAACCCGTTCTCTGAATTCCAAATAGTCTTCTTCTAGTACTTCGAGCATACTTTTGATGTTTTGCTTACATGAAGAAACTCCACCACAGGTTGATGGAAAGTTTCTCATGGAGCCTCCAATATTCTCTTTCATGAGTATTAAATTCGCAATAAAATCATAAAAAAAAGTTGATTCCGCCAATTTTTGTAATTTTTGATTCTTTGTTTTTTGAGTGACTGTAGGAGCCAGTTTCAAAAGTGCTTCCGCATCCTTGACTCTTTCGCTCCAATCTATCTTTGAATCTGTTCTAGAAGTTGTAGTCGACTTTTCTAATTGTGGCGTGATTGTGCCAGTTTTATCAAGTAGGCCAAAGACTCGTGGGATTTTTAAACTGGGCCTTGAGATTTCAGCTCCCGGGGAAACCAAAGTAGCTGGTCTGTTGAATAGAGCTCTTCCTGATAGAGCCCCTCCACCATGTAGGAGGGGAACGCCAAAATGCCTAGGGGTGTGTAAAGGATTGTGTGTGGATGCGCGATACTCCGGTTCTTCATCACTCTCATATTCGTGATCAGGTAAATATCGGGGAGAGGATCCAGGACTAATTATGGACGGGGGAAACAACTGACTCAGGTCATTATCATCGTCATCAAGTGATCCTATCATGTGTCTCATATATGAACTTATATAAGGACAAGTGACGAAGTAGACAGACAGTGTAAAGTATAGAACGAAAAGCTTTGACCCTTTCATAACTATAATAACAAAAGGATCGAGAAATGTTGAGAGAATGTGAGGAAATTTTGCAAAAAAATCCTTGCAAGTCCTTTATGTCTATTTTCGAGTGGCTGATTCAAGGTTTGCGCAACGAAAGTTGCCAAAATTAAATGTGTAAGATTTTGTACATCAAGGACCTCAATGACTTCATTCCCTCAGAGATTGTAAAGATTGTTTCTTTAACCAATTTCATGAACTTATTACGTAATCTTGTCAACGATGTACATAGCATTACTTTTCTTGTTGGCTGAGGCAAATCACTTTGAAATACACTAAACCATTCCGTGTCACAAGACTGAAGAAACCATGCAAGAGCCATTTGTTTCGAGAACGCATTGTACTCTTCCTGCTCTAAAACACACGCAGACCATTTCATGCTGTATGATCAGTGATACTAAACTGAATTTGAGATACCATACGGTCATCTTATGCGGCGCTGTTCGCAAAGCCAACCTTGGAGTTTCGTTCAAAGAGATGTGTTACAGCCATTCCGATATTGCTTGTCGCACCCTTTTGAAAAGAAAAAGTTTGTGAGCTCGAAACCTAAGTTTTAACCGGTTAAAACCTGAAGTTTGGCTGTATTGCCTTGAATTACAGCTGAGTTTGAAGTTTTATCGAGTAAAAACTTAGGTTTCAACTTTTTCTTTTTCAAAACGGAGCGACAAGCAATATCGGAATGGCTGTAGTTGCGTTGCGTTCAACTTGTGATGAAAAGTCATGCCGACCAGACTGGGGTGTACAATACACTAGAGCTTATTGTACTTAGCTTAAGTTAAGTTAAGTATTGTACATATGATTGACATGTAAAACGGCGAGGTCGGCAGCTCCGGGCCGAGGCTTTCACTCTGTTTTCTACACCAATAAACACCGGGCCACCCACCCGAGAGCGTCTGGACTCTGCGCCATCTGAATTCGGAGAAAGGATCGGTGGAAAGGATGAGTATCGCGCTTGCTACCCTTCAACCGGCTCGTAAATCTCTTTTCACTCACTTGCAGGTCTTGAGAAAAGGTCGAGCTTTTTTCACTTGGCCATCTGGGCACACGAACGATGATAATACAAGTGCCGAGGATGGACACAGCAAGAGAGGCGATTTGTTGATATATAAGGAAACCAAACGCATGCCGTGAGTCAACTCGTATGTATCAATCTATCTTGCAAATCTGATGAAGTTTTCTTTTCGGAACCATTTTTAGATATTCGAAACAACAACTCTACAAAGTCATAGCTGATGTCGAAGCTTACCCTCATTTCGTTCCTTACTGCGTGGCATCGAACTTGCTGTCTCACCGCCCTTTAAAAGCGAATGGCGAATTATCGAAGCAAGAAATAAGTAGACTCAAGCCATGGGTCCAGGGAGGCTACGCTGGTGAGACTCACATGCTAGAGTCTGAATTGGTAGTGGGCTTCAAGACCTTTGAGGAACGCTACACCAGTCATGTAGAGTGCCGTAAATGGGAGATGGTCAAGGTGAACGGTTTCCCTATTACCTTCATCTGACTCTGCTTTCTGATCTGTTGATCCTATGAGGGTACAGGCAAGCGCCAGTCACTCATCCCTCTTCAAGTGCTTGGAATCAACCTGGACATTTCAAACCCCAAAGGACACTCCATCCCACCAGGCCTCGACTTCAAACAGTAGCGACGTTTCACTTCATCTTGCTTTTGCTTTTGCTAGCCCATTACACGCAGCCATTGGTGAAGTATTCTGGAAAAAGATCAGTGAAAAGATGGTACTTGCGTTCGAAAATCGACTTGAACAAGTATATCGACAATCACCCTCCACGTCCCATCGTTAACCCCAAAGGAAGAATATGACTAAGAACCGATAGGGATGGAATTTCTGACATTAGAATAAGTTGCTCAGTATCTGATGGATCTGGCACCTAGAGATCGCACTTCGCAAGAGTCAAAACGCGAAGATGGAATCATATCAGGATTGTACGCGTCACAATACTATACGGTTCACCTCGCTCTCATCCGTCATTTGACACTATCATGGAGAGTTGCGTCAACTTCAAGGGGCTTTGTACATAGGACAAGGCAGCAACATCGCAGTATGATGTTGCATTACGGCGGGGCATGAAGAACCGCAAAGTATCGGACGTTGATGAATGGATTGCTGATCTCAAAATTGAAAGGTTTTTATTGGTCTATCCAGATGCGATGCTGCTTACATATATCTTTTCGCATAACTTTCTTATCTCATCGAACATCAAGTCAAAAAACCTTTGTTCAACACTAGCTCCTTGCTTCTCAGAATTTCATTGCCTCCGCAGCAACATTTGAAGTGATGTATTCATTCATCCAATTTCAACCGACTAAACTTGCACATTGTTTGACCGTGAATGACAGTGGATTATATATCATAAAGCTGCCAACATTTGTGTCCAGGCCCATTGTCTTTACATGGGTATCTGGTGGCAGTTTTGTGCTCTGCTGTTTTTAAATTCATATGGTGCATTGATTTTCTCAAGTCCAATAGCACACTGTTTGTATAAAATAGGGTAATGGAGACAAGTGTTTCATTTCAACTTCACTAGAGAAGTCTATCATCATCATCATCATTGTAAATTTTAAAGAGCACAAGACTCAATTCATGGGCAAAGAAAGGTCTCTTCAATGGGTGATTCAATTTATCCAGATGATGAAACATCAGCTTTGATATTTGACTTCATCTTTGATGCAGAAGATGAACTCAAGGACCTCTTGAACCTGCCCACCAAGATGAGATATCATGAACCCCAATGGAAGATGCCATTCAAGGATGACTTCAACATCAACAATGTTCTATGTGACAAATCCTTTGATTTTGGACAAGCCATGCAAACTACAAGAGCTGGTTACAATGTGTTCTTAAGCTTATTGCCAGACTTACAGTCTGTTCTTGCACATCTTGTAATCCACAGCCACTGTGTCCTTGTGGCAGTCGCTCAACAATGAGTGCACACCAACTGCCTTTGAGGCACAAAGGCCACTTATGTGCACTCAACAACCAGCAAACACCACACAGACATGGTGAGCCAACTGTTTCCAAACAGCTTGCTATTACTTTGGAGTGATTAGGCAGTTCTGGAAATGGAGCATCACTGGGCTGTTTAGGTAAAACTTACAAACTGTCATCTGGTGCTGGGGTCAACTTCTCACACCAATGCATTCAGGCCATCAATGAATATGCTTCTGATCATCTCAAGTGGCCCAACTGTGTTGGTGAAAGAAAATCTTGCAAGCTATGGCCTTGGAAGGTTTTTCTGGTTGTGTAGGGTTCATTGATGGAACTACTTTCCCAATATATCAAAGACCAGGCAATACCGCAATCGCTCCGCAATTTTTCGGGGTTGCGGAGCGCTTGCGTTGCGCTTTTCCTGACCGCAACAGGCTCTGTGATGTATAGCGGAGCCTGCGCAGCGCACTACGGGGCTGGTTTTACAGGTTGCCCGCCGCTATTAAACTCAGAGGCCCGGTCCGGGTTTGCCCCGCTATATGGCGGAGCAATACCCGGTACCCAGGGGCTGTACTTACACTGACAGCGTGGGCAAAGGGGTACGCCACTCACCCTTGTCGCTCAGTTTCACCACTTCTTTCGATCGATCAACTACAAATACACTCCCAATGGATGGCGCTTGGATATTTCTTAGATTCATGGACTACAGCCCCTGGCCACCCTCCCAATTTCGGCCTACCTGTGGTTTATTCAATACAACTATACTAAAAAAGGTCATCTGGTATGTGTATCATCTTCGCCGATAGCGATTACTCCCAGTTCCATTTCATTGATTTGATCATCATCAGTCTTGTTAACAAACATTTTTCTCTTTTCTTATTTACCTTTATCTATACTATAGCCATCAAAACCAACTCGCAAAGCTCAACTACCAACTCACTCCAGGTTCCAAGTAGTGGCGTTCGAACTCTTCGACCGCCAAGCCCTGCTCGTGCTCAACCCGGATTTGTGGTGCCGCCAAAAGATTCTCGCACTGCCGTAACTTCTACATCAACATCTGCTGACGAATCGCCTGGTCCTGGTCCTCTTGGTCTCCGTCGTGCATCACCTCGACCTCCGGTGAAGAAGCCAGTCAAGAAACAAGTACCTGTGGCAGTCAAACCAAAGGCCAAGCCGACTGCAAGTGGCAAGGTGAGTTAGTTCTCTTACCATGAGATCATAAGTGATCATGACTGATCACTTCATTTCTAGTCTCGATCCTCAACTAGTAAGCGTGCACGATCAGTAACCCCTTCAGGAAGTGCCAGTGCGACTGGTGGCTCACCCTCACCCCGATCAGCCAAACGAAAACACTCTAAGACTAATGTATGTATGTTTTCTCATTTGTTTCTCCTTTCAATCACTGACACCAGTGGTGTGTATTATAATTAGCCTTTTGAAGTGCCTCAGGACGCGGACCTATCTCAAGATTCTGAGATTGAGTTTGTTGGCTCCAACACTCAGTCTCAGCTTGGTTACAATCAGTCTTGATCGCTCAATGTAAGGGAGCTCCTTAAGTATTTTGGGCCGCCCGATGTAGGTTTTTTTAAGTGACTTCTTTATATTCATTTATTGCTCTTCATTTTAGTCATCTTTCTTCATTTTTGATACCTTAGCTAACATTAAATCTTCTACTCTAGGGACGTAACTATCTATGTTTATGGTGTGGGAACACGTATACTTGCGGTGATCGATCTTACTTTGCTCTGCGCGGACATCGTGATGGTAACAAGGGCCGACCATCATGCAAGCAACGGCACAAAGCCATAGCTGCAGGGATGGATCTTCCGTCAAGCTATGAAGAAATCGAGAAGGCCAAGCAAGCTGCGCCGAAGTCGACTGTAACATCCTACTTCAGTGGACCGTCCTTCACACCCGAGCTCATGAATATGATTCTTGTCATATGGCTTATTCGCCATGCGCTTCCCTGGTCACGTTTTGAAGATGAAGCTCTTCGCGCGGCGTTCTTCACCGTCAATCGAGGTGCCTTGGTTTGATCAAGAACGTGGGCCGCGCAACAGTCCGTCCAACTCTTTTCAGCTTTACATCATAAAGCGATCAATGCAATAAAAGTAAGTTTACATTTCCTACTGATTATATGTGATGTGTGATTCTGAAGTTGATGGACTATTTTTAAGGAAAACACTGGAAAGTTCTGCCTTATCCACTATGTCTGGACTACAAAAGGCAACAGATACACATTTATCGGAGCGAGCGCCAACTATATCGACAATAACTGGCAATACCAATCTTCCCATCTAACTCTCAAAATGATACCTTGGCGCCACTTTGGCGCTCTCCTGGCCAGACCTATTGGTCGCTTTCTGATTAGACATGGACTTCACCATAAGATAAGTTTTTTAATCTTTATATTTCATTTTCATTTTATTGTATATAAAACGCTTATCCCTGTTTATTTCCTAATCACATGCTTGCCCAGACCACCGATAGCGGTGGGAATAATGGACCAATGGCTGCGGAAATTGAATCAATGTTTGCAAGTGCTGACAATCCAGCGATTTGGAATGGGACATCACATCATGTGCGATGCTATGCCCACAAGTTGAACCTAGTAGTTGGTCATGGGCTCAAGGCGCTTGGTCAGAGAGTAAGTTATTCAAAACCGACCATACCTCATGGTATTTCTCTTCCCATCCCTGCTTTGGAAGTGAATGATGGCGAGGAAGAGGTTGAAATCGACGAACCGGAATCCGAAGAAGACGAATCCGGCTTACCTGATAAGCCGGACGGTGTGGACGAAGACGACGGAGAGAATGAAGTCGAATCTGAGATAGCTCACGATGAAGAGGACAAAGTGGCTGCTGCCCTCAAGAAGGTATGTACCATTCCTTTTTTTGGTCAATGTATTTATATAAATAGGAATAGAACTAATGAAGTTCTATTCCTATAGGTTGATGGTGTAATTGGCCAGATAGCTAGCAGCGCAGCCCGTCGCAGTGATTTCAAGACTCGCTCCACGCGTATGGGGTACAAGGGTCGTATGCTCAAAAGAGCGTGCAAAACAAGGTGGAATAGTCACTATGAGAGCCGTAAGCTTGCTTGCAAAGCACAAGAGGTATCTATATTACTTCCTTTTCTCACTTTATTTCTCATACATTTATCGTTTCATTTTTCTTTTCACTCTGACTTGCTTTAGGTAATCAACTCGATGCTCGCTGCTGATCGAAAGGCTTGCTTTTTTAAGGGAGTTACCATATCGCCTGCAGAATGGCATTCTGTAGAAATGGTTAACAGGGTATTAAAAGTAAGTGTTTGTACATTATCTTACATCACTTTATGACGTGCACTAATAGACATTTTGTTTGGTAGACCTTTGTGGACGCAACCGCGCGTGTTGAAGGGAACGGTCCCACCGGCTGTATTGTGTTAGCTGAATATAAGCGAGTGATTACTGAGCTTCAAGGCCATCAAAACGAATTGCAGGAGTTTCCGAGCCTTGACAACGCAATCAATGCAATGATTGATTGGCTTGTAAAGTACCAGGACGAGGCGCTCAACTGCCAATGCATTACTATTGCAACCATCCTCAATCCCCGCTTTTGCGTCAAATTTTTCAACATTCATTATCCTGAATACAAAGCTTCAGCATCTATAGCCATCAAAGATTTATATAACACTCTATTTGAGGAAAGTAACTTACATGAGACAACTCCACCACCAAATCACGACGAAGCCTCTGAGGAGCCCGACGAATTCGACATATTTCAATCTGCCGATGTCAGCACGAAGAAGTCATCTACGTCAGAGTTAGAAGATTACTTACAAGGTCGCTTCCCAATCAAAAAAGGCCAGTCTCCACTGGAATGGTGGAAGGTCTGTATCTTGACTTCTTTGTTTCTACATCTCAACTTGCTGACCTCTGACTACAACAACAGGAACATGAAGCTGATTTCCCAATTCTTTCAAGACTGGCACGTGATTACCTATCGGTATCTGCCACGTCTTGCGCATGTGAGCGCACCTTTTCGGCGGCGGCGGATATTTGTAGCCCGACGCGAGGGTCACTTATTCCAAAGACTATGGAACGTCTTGTGGGATCCCAGGCTTGGTTGAAGGAAGGCATCATTCCAGATGGCCCTTTCGAAGCAGCAGCAAAGGCGATCGAAGCCTATATGGAAAGTTCAACCAAGAAAAAGAAATGATATTGGTTGTTCTTATTTAATCTTAAAGGTTCTTTTCTCTATTTGCTTTTGTTTCCTCTCTTGTGATGATACACGGGCAATGAAAGTCGTATTAGCTTATTTTGCGAAGTATTGCGCGCTATATTGCGCGCACTATCGCTATATTGCGCGCACTATCGCTATATTGCTGCGCAATATACCTGCCGCTATATTGCGCGCAATATAGCGAAGAATTGCACACACTCCGCTCCGCACGGCTGAGGAAAAAAAATTGCAATAAAATTGCGATTGCTTGCGTAGCTCTACATAGCGCAGCTTGCGCTGCGCAACGCAGAGGAGGGCAAATTGATGGAACTACTTTCCCAATATATCAAAGACCAGGGATAGATGGCAAGACTTTCTTTGATTG